ACTTCTCCAGCTTCTCATGCTCCTTCTTCCTGATGTTGCTGTCACTTGGCACTGCTACATTTATCACCACTATATATACGCACTTACAAAACACTATTACTATAGTTGCAAATTCCCTGAGTTAAAGGAAATTTTAGGATTCTGTTAGGAAGGAGTTGGCATCAATTTGCACCCCTTTTTACAACCCAACCCAAGAAAGAAATCAAAAATTCAAATTGTGGAGAACATTATTTTTTTCAACAACTACCTCAAGAATTTGACCTGTCAAAATCAGATAAATGATGAATAGGCAGTAAAAATCTGACTTGCCTACAACTTTTATCAAACTGTAAGGAATATCCCTTTGTAATATTTTATAATTTAAAATTGATGGTATTACTGCATGCCTTAATAGCATTCTCTCCCTAAGCTAGTACTAGCTGGTTTCCTGAAGTTTTTTGGTGTGCGCAGGTATAACTTCTTAGGAGTTCCTAAGACTCCTGGGATTCACTGCCTAGGCTTTGTTCCCTCAAGATGATATGTTTAACGAAACTGGTATAAAGCTGCACAAACAGAACAATCAAAGCTCTAAAAAAATCAAGAAAATAGAAAGTACCAGCAAAGTATTACTGGCTGTCATTGCAATTTTGAAAAACATATCTTATTCTGCAAAGCTATCTTCTTATCAAAAGGTTTCTTCTCTAATCCCTCTGAATTTACTCCTTGTAGTAGCTGCATCCATTTGAAGATTTCAAGGCCCTTCTGAATTCCTTTTGACATGCTTCTACCAGAACAGCAGATAAGTAAACTATACTGTATGCCCCCATCCAGAGGCCTACTAAGAACCACTAACTGCAATGCTTAGGTTCCTTAACCTGTCCATACAGTGCTATTTATTTATTTATTTAGAAAAGTTATATGACTGCTTATCTTGCATATGAACTCTAGGGAGCTAACAATGATCATCAAGAACAATATAATAACAATCAACAAAAATATAATAAAACCTGTATAAATTAAAAAAAAAAGAATTAAAAGAGCCATTGTACATTAACCAAGGTACCATACAACAAACTCAATCATACAAACCACACCTATATTGCCTAACAGGCAAAAAGATGTTACAGTAAGGGTGCTGGCAATTTAACTACTTGCCAATTCTACTTTTGGCAAAAAAAGATATCTAGAAGAGTCTGTTAGAGTTATAGACTTGATGCTGATGGAACATTGGACAATCAGATATTAAAGTAAACTGACAATCTCTTGTGGCTGCTATAGTTAATTACATTAGATCAGCTCAGGCAACCTGATTTGCAATTTGTAGCATTCTTCAACCTTAGTCATGAGTAAAATCTGGAGTCTTACAGGTTGCTTATCCTGCATTAAATACCTAACAGCATGCAAACAGCTATTACATCTCACAATAAGACAAATAATCAAAGAACACAAAATTCTAACTCAGTTTGGTGTTCTCCTGATAAACTTGAATCACATCTCCCCAAATCCCTAGCCAATAGTTGGCCAGGAAGTTTGAGGAATTTTAGTCCCAACACTACAAGGAAGAAACTATTCTATTCCCTTTGTAACAATGAAGTGGTAGCACTGTAATCTACACACATTTTAGAAGTTGATGGCACTGCAATGAACTGCAATCCCATTAAAGCACTTCAAATCATACAAATGCATATCAGAAGAAATTATTCTAGGAAATGCCTAATTATTATAATTTGTTTAATTATGGGCACTAAGTACAAGTATGGTAATATAAAGCCAGCCTGGCATTTCAATAAATTTGATTCAAAAGAATTTAAATGATTGCTCCAAACAAAGACTTTCTATGATATAAAATACTAGCCATCATACAGATCATGGCTGAATAATATGAGGCTCCACGCTGATGTGCAGCCTTCAGAGTCCCTTTGGCCACAAATTTCAGAACTCTGTGGCATGGTTTCTTATACTTTTGGAATAGGAAATTATATTGTAAGCCCTAAAACAAACACGCAAACAATGCAGGCAAATAAAAAAGAAAGTTGAAACCCAGGAAAAAAAATCAAGAAAATTTCAGTCCTATCTTCTTCACACTATTCCCTCCCTGCTTCCACACAAACATGGCCTCTCATCGTTAGATTCTAAAACTCTCAATACTTTTTACTGTATTGAGCAAGCCTTTGTTGGTTATTTATTGAGCTTCCCTAATGTTAAAAAAAGATAGGATAAATAAAACATGATCTGGCTCTCTTGATCACAGAGCAACAAGGATCTAGTGGTGGATCCTGGCAACTTAGTGGACCACAATAAACAAGGGGAAAATGGGAAAGATGGGCAGAGGAAACTCTAGGGAAAAGACAAGACCAGACTTTCAGGAACCTGGGAGGAGGAGAACTAAGAGAAAGATAGGACACACAGCCAGAAACAACACAGCAGTCAGAGATTATTTTTGCACAGTGATTTGAAATAAAGAGTTGAATCACTGGCTCTTGGCCTCTAGTAGTACTTTATTTTCAAATTTCTTTTCTCAAAGGGGAGAAGCATTTCCACAGTATCCCCCAAACACAGCCTACTTTAACATTTGGAATAGTGAATATCAATATAATAGATCTGCTGTTACGGAGAAAGCATTATTTTTAATTGTAATCTACCATTTAAAAAACAAACAACAGTTCATAGCACTGAGAGAAAATATTCTCTGAAAAAGTCATTCTAACATTAATGCTGTGCTTAACTGCAATTTCTCATTCACTATAGGCCAACTATATCAAACAATTACAGATAATCTATCTGAAAAGAAAGTCCTGAACTACAATTTTAAAAAAATCTTTAAAATAAAAATAGTAAGGGGAGAAATTCATTTGCAAATATACCCAGTTTACACTTATAGGCAAAGATTGCACATATTACAAAATGAATATATTACTTTAAACAAAATATATAAACTATTTAAATCATCATATTTGCATATCATATTACATTTTCTTGGAAGTCCCAGTGATTTCAATATCTGCATGTATGTTTGACTAACTTACCAGCCAATTATTTCACATCATTTAGGAATCCAAGTATAACTATCTGAAAGGCTATCAGAAAAATCTCTATACTTCTTTGGCAAAGGACTAAAAACAGAAGAAGGATAATAGCTAATATTCAGCTGATTCTTACTTGAACATCTGAAGCTTGGCTTCCAATTTTTGAAGCAAACTGACAATCTTCAGGCTCAACTGAAAGATATGCAGTGGCAAGAGGCAATACTTCTGAAAAATTTCCTTGATTGAAGTTTATCACTTCTGGACTATGTTGTCCATCTTTGACAGATTCACTCAGATTGATCACAGAATCTCTAATGTTTGAAATAATTTCATTATTTTCTGCCAGCAACCGTTCCAAGTGGTCTATTTTCTCTTGCAGTATCGAAAGCTGACCCTGTTGAAAAATACATAATTAGACATCCAAATATCCTTACTAGTAGAAATACATTTATTTCCTCTTCCTGTTCTAAACCTCATAGCAAAGAGCTTTAATTATCATCAAATCAATGTAAGAACCTTTCTCAGAAAAAAAGGAATACTCAGGATTCTTTCATTCCTTAAAGTGAATTCATATAGGATTTAGAACCCTTTTTTTGGAAAAGCAAGCAATTATGCTGTTCAATTCTGTTGCAAACATAAAAAGACAACCATCTCTAATTTTTATTTTCCCAAATCTACTAACAGTTATGAATTCAAGAATAAGATTTAAAATTGTCCCACCATTAAAATAAAGCTTATTCAAAATTCTATCATTAGGATATCTTAGTGGACAAGTTCTAGAATAAGGCATTATTTATTAAAATAAAAAAATAGTTATATTACAAAATATCTTTGAAATGGAAAATCAAAGGGAATAATTAACAGTGTTTCAGAAAACCTCCTTTAGTTCACAGAATTGCAGACTAGGTACATGCTTCATTCAAAACGTTTTATCGGGTGAACTAGTTGCTGTAGATCAAAACAAAAGCAGATTAAAATAATTTTAGCCAGTGAGGGTTATCCATATTCCTATTTTTCCAGGCAGTAGATGTACATTTCCTTGCTGATGCATTGTACATTTATCTCCTCACAGTACTACTTTTCTTACATGTATATTTTTGAAAGAATAATCCCCTATCCCTGCTTTTCCTGCTGTGGCATCTGCTATATACATGTAGATCTACCTGCATAAAGAATATTCATTTCATTTCATACATTTATTTGCAACCACAGGTTTTAGCAAAATTTAAAAGAATACTGTATTATTATTAGCAGAATTAGCAAAAACTCAGGCCTTTTATATTTTCTTAGATTTTAAAACAGACATACATACTATATTTCCTGTCCCCAGCATATAAATTCTGGGCAGCAGCAGCGATGTCCTTTCAACAGCAGTATACACATATAATGAGAGCCAGTCCGGTGTAGTGGTTAAGGGATCAGGCTAGAAACCGGGAGACTGTGAGTTGTAGTCCCACCTTAGGCATGAAGCCAAGCTGAGTGACCTTGGACCAGTCACCCTCTCTCAGTCCTAGGAAGGAGGCAATGGCAAGCCCCTTCTGAAAAACCTTGCCAAGAAAACTGCAGGGGCTAGTCCAGGCAGTCGCCAGGAGTCAAAGAACTGACTCAAAGGCACAAAAGAAAAAAAGTGCATATAACAAATACATCTTTGTTATACAGCCCTAAGCAACTTGAAGGATTAGCCACAGAATGCATTATACCAATACTCTAAAATCTTCCCTGATTTCCTGTTTAATTCCCAAACAACTTTTTGTAGTTTGCATCCATAAAGCCCTTAATACATAGTGACCTGTTTCTTCTATCAAAATTCACTTACATTTATTATCAAAAGTATGAAATCAACTGTACATGCTTTATTGGCAGGGCTATCATTTCAGACATACCAGAGATGCTGCACATTCTTGGTTGCTGTACCTTGATTTTCAAACTTTCAAACCATCTCAAGACAAGAGTATCAGGTTTGGGAAAGCTGTTTTAAGGTCAGGTCAGCCCTGGCAATGTCGAATTATGCAGAGTATTTTTTTAAAGTTTTATCTTCAGATTACCTGTGCAATCAATATAAAATTTACAGTTTCTGCATGCCAGGGAGCCAACACTCCTCTACGTCATGCAAAGTAATCTGCAAACTGAAATATATTTACTCAGGAATCAGTCCCACACTAATCAACAGAGCTTTTTCTCCCATAGCTACATTGAGGTATGCAGTCTTAGAAGCAGCAGCAATTCTGTTAAGAATTAGGTTGATGTTTTAGCAGAGCAGAAAATATTGTGATCTAGAGTAAAACAGAGCCTTTGTCAGGAAACAGCAAGGATATCGTTATTGCTTTGTACTTGTGCTAAAGACAGATGAAAATAGAATTTATTTATAAAATTTATATATTTATAGCATTAATTTAAAAGTAATCTTTTAGTCTAAAACAAATTCTAAGCTGATTTATATATTAACAAAAGTAATGAATATGTTAAACAACACATATCAACATTTATAAATATTCCCAATTATGCAACATGCAAAGTAAGTTTCAGTGCCTTTATCTTCTGAAAGACAAGAGAAAGGTTTCAAGGCAAGGATTAGAACCTAATCATAAAACTGTCTTACTAGGGCTGTACAAATCCTCTGAAAGAGTTGCTTCAGAATGAGTGGGAGCAGGAGTGTCTGTAGGGAGAGTCAATGACATCCAAATGGCAGGTGCAACTAGCGGATTGAACCTCCACCCCCTTTCTAATGTGTGAACATCCCTGCATGGAAGCATGTACACAGCACCTCTTTTCATTTTCAATAAATAAGCTACTTCTTTTGGTGGATTCCTATAACTGATTTGTAAGATGCTTCCAGCTGTCTCCGCAACCATGTGCGTGCCCAATAGCTTCAGTAAAAAAAAAACAACCCAGCAACTTAGGAAGTAGCCACAAAAGCTTGGAAAAAAGATGTGGCAGCTTCGCTGATTGAAAAAGAAGTGCTTCCAGATACCATGAAGTCCCCCTTTCAAAGACTCTGCAGACCCCTATCTGAAACATGTCCTAGAGACCAAAGTGATTTTGCAAGGCAACCCAAATAATGGGAAGTGGATCTGGGAGGTAAAAAAGTAAGGCAGGAATCCAAAGGTACTGTGAATGGAGAATGCACAGCTGATAAATTATTAAGAAACTGGAATGGAAAACAAAGATGAATATATCAGAGGAAAGCATTAATTCATAGATGTTCTTCTATGAACCAGAGGAAATGGCCAATTCTTAGGAAACAAGGAAGTGTTATGCAGAAAGCCACATTTCATAAGTATGCATTTTTCACTTAAAAAACAAAAACCAAAAATTTTGTGTAATTGATTGCTGAAAGTGCTGCAGCTAAGTAACAAACCAGAAGTATCAAATAATGGTCAAATATTTTAAAATAGTTCTATTAAAACACCATTTTATCCCTTTCAGCAGACTTCTTTAATAGCAAAAACTGGTTCATTAGTATGAAACTGAAATTTAACTTTTTAAAAATGCAAGTATTCTATCTTAACGTATAAATAAATTAATACAAAGTCCCTGAACACTAATTCTTCAGTTTTCATCTTGGAACAGCAGGATGAGTTGCAATTAAGAGTATTTTTTTTAATAAAATAAAGGCAGATATAAAGTAAGGTACCAGTAATTCTTAAAGAAATGGAAGGTATCTGCTAAGTAGTCAGAACCTCTTCCAACTCGCTTTTCACTTTAGCTTGCAATTTTAATTTACCCCAGCATGCTAGCTCCTAACCCTTTCTCTTACCATTGTATTCCCAAATCGCACTCATCCAAATTTCCCAAAACTGGTGCTCTCCTAATGTTTTCTCCTTCAACTCTCATAACTGCTAACTAACATATGTTGTTGTAATATTAGAAGAGCTGCCACCCCCTTTATGGAATAATTGACCATACTCAGCAATCAACTGACAATGATACAATCCGTAATTTCATTCCCCTGGATGAATATGTTACGTGATTCCAACTATTGTGATTTGTACCCAGTTTCAGTACTTGTGTATTGAGTATTTCAGCAGATAGGATAGGCTATAAATTGAATAAATGCTTCAGTGAAGTTTGTAAACTTAGCTAATTATGATCTGTTGAACAACCCATGGTTAATCAAAATAATTGTGCAAGGACTGCAAATGCAAGATGATAGGATGAGAATATATCCACTGGCAAACAGCCTGCTGCCTGCAGCATCACTATTCTCTTAAAATTTTAATTTCTACTAACCAGGATGTTATATTTTTGTTATATATTAGCAAGACTCTATTAACTGCATTGATTTCAACTTCAATAAAACTAGCTGTTTTCACAATCCCATCATTCAAAGTTGCCTGATGTGTGTTCAATGTATTAGAGCCTTTTATGGTCTCAGCCTCTGTAACTGCAGCCAACATATCAGCTAATAATGGGTGACATGGCTTAACTGCATCAACCAACCAGGTTATTATTATTGTTTTATTCCACTTTTCAACCTTTGAAAAAAGAAGGCAAGCCTTGCCCACGGATTTAACAGAGCAGAGATATCCATTCTTTTCAAGGCTGGAATGAGGGAGTATCTTGCTAGTGTTCCTGCATGAACAGCATTTAGCATCCTTTCATCCTGTGGTCAGAATGTGCTACCCTTCAATAAAATGACTAGGGTTTATTGAAATTGTAATCCAAAATATCTGGAGATAAGGCTGGGTAAAGTGGCCTATATATTTCCTTTTAGAGCATTTCCGTGCCTTTTCAGCCACTACTGGCTATATCTGCAGCAATTCTCTAATTTTATATGATTTCCAGCTTATCTTTATAATATTCTGTTAAACATACAGCTACACTCTTTCTTTACATTTCTGATGAGCTCCCAATTCATGGATAGTGTTCAATCAAGTTTTATAATTCATATATTTTAAAATTCAGATTTCAACCTGTAAAGATGAACATCTTAAAGGAAATTATGTACACTATTGCAATGCTGAGGGGAAAAAAAGTTTAGAAAGACAAAGATCTGAAGTGTCACTTTATGCCCCCTAGTGGTATATTAACCAAACATCTAGACAAAAAAGATACATTTTAGTTCTATGTATTTCCTACCTACTACTATAATTTAGGAAAGAATTATCACAAATGGAATACTTCACCTATAAAGTTAATATTTTGTAACTTTGTGGCTAATGCCTGATTTTCTGCAGTTTTACAGCTGTTTTTAAGCTGTTTCAAAGCTTTAAAAGAGAAACTGTTCAACTATTACAAAATCATTTGTCAGGCATGGGTTTTTCTCCAGTTGGGCAAAACACTAATCTTAACAGTTTAAAGTGCTCAGTATACAAAACTGTCTTCAATCAGTATGGCAAATCAAAACATACGTTTTTAAATACACCTTGCCATACTTCTCAATGTTTAGAATAA